CACACCGTCAAAACTATCCTCAATATTATTATCCTTCCTATACAGATCTTCTGTATAGTCTCGCCACCTTCTCTTGATCTCTTCAGCTTCTGTTAGGTCCCTGCCATCTTTGTTTCTTATCATACCAATTTTTGCCTGAAATTTACCTCCAATGTTTCTAATTTTCTGGAAGAGGTCGCTTGTCCTTCCTATTCTGTTGTCTTCTTCCACTTCCATGCATTGCTTATTTAAAAATAGTTCCTTATCTCTTCTGGCTAACCTCTGGAATTGCGCATTTAACTGGGCATATCTCCCCCTTATCACTGTTTCCTTTTGCTTTCCTCCTTTCTTGGGCTACTTCCAGTGTCTCAGCAGACAACCATTTTGCCTTCTTGGTTTGCTTTTTCTTTGGGACGTACTTTGTTGCCGCCTCCTGAACAATGTCTCGGACTTCTGTCCATAGTTCTTCTGGGACTCTGTTTACTAAATCTAGTCCTTCAAATCTGTTCTTCACTTCCACTGTATATTCGCTAGGAATGTTAGTGAGATCATACCTAACTGGTCTGTGTATTTTCCCTGATCTCTTTAGTTTTATTCTAAATTGAGCAATAAGAAGTTCGTGATCTGAGCTACAGTCAGCCCACAGGTCTTGTTTTCACCGACTGGATGGATGTCCGCCACCTTTGGCTGCAAAGGATGTAGTCAATCTGATTTCGGTGTTGACCATCTGGTGAGGTCCATGTATAAAGCCGTCTTTTAGGTTGTTGGAAGAGAGTATTCGTTATACACAGCGAGTTTTCCTGGCAAAATTCTATCAGCCTGCGTCCTGCTTCATTTTGTTCTCCCAGACCATGCTTGCCTGTGATCCCAGTTGTCATTTGACTTCCCACCTTGGCATTCCAGTCTCCTGTAATGAAAATAATGTCTCTTTTTGGTGTATTATCCAGTAGGTCCTGCAGATCCGCATAGAACTGATCTACTTCTGCTTCTTCAGCAGCTGTGGTTGGGGCGTATATTTGGATCACTGTAATGTTGAAAGGCTTTCCTTGCACTCGAATTGAGATCATTCTGTCATTTTTTGGGTTGTATCCAAGCACCGCTTTAGCGAATTTCTTATTAATTATGAAGGCTACTCCATTTCTTCGATGTTCCTCTTGTCCGCAGTAGTAGATCTGGTGGCCATCTGATGTGAAGTGGCCATTCCAGTCCATTTCAGTTCGCTGACCCCCAGAATGTCTATCTTTAGTCTTGACATCTCACCAATAACAACATCCAATTTGCCCTGGCTCATAGATCTTACATTCCAGGTTCCTATGGTGTGTTGATCTTTAGAGCATCGGATTCGTCGTTCACCTCCAGTACCGTCGGCCGCTAGCCTTCCTTTCGGCTTTGAGCTAGCTGCGTCATCACATCTGGGGCTAGTTGAACTTATCCTCTGCTCCTCCCCAGTAGCATTTTGGCCATCTTCCGACCTGGGAGTCCCATCTTCCACTGGCATACCGACATATCTCTGGTTGTACTGGTCCATTTAGTTTTCTTGGCAAGGATACTGGGGTGGTTTGCCATTGCCTTCCCCAGGAATCACGCTTGGTCTGACCTCTCTGCCACAACCGTCCCATCTTGGGTGTCCCTTCACGGTTTCGCTCATGACATCATTGAGGTGCTCAAGCTCCAGCGCCCCGACAAGGCGGTGATCCTTTGCTTTTAAATCCATAAAAGCACCAAAAATGTTTTTTGAGAGTCCTGGAAACTATTTCTTTCTTGTGTGCTGAAAGATACCTACTGGTCAAACCAACTGGAAATAAGATATTGCCTTGTAGAACTGAGAGGGGGGAACCACACACCCAGGCAAATACAGGAGAATAGCAGAGGAAATGGCATAAGTAAGAAAAGTGACACCAGGGTGACCAGACTACAAAAGATAGTTGAATTTGTTCAAGCAATGGGAGAGGAGAAACACATGTTTGAAATGTGGGTTGCAAACATTGGAAAGATCCTGTTGCAAGGGATGGAGAAACTATATTGTAGGTTACATCTGAGTATGCATCTACACTGTAGAATTAATGCACTTTGACACCTCTAATTGCCATGACTCAATGTTATTTATTTTATTTATTTATCGTATCAGGGGTGAACCAAGGGTATAGTTGTAATGTTTTTTTAAAACCACTAAGTTTAAAAGGTTGGCATTATATTAAATGTCCAGTAGCTGGCCACTTGGAGTGCCTCTGGTGTTGCTATAAGAAGGTTCTCCATTGTGCACGGGCTCAGACTGCATTGTAATAGGTGGTTTGTGGTTTGCTCTTCTCCACCCCTGCATGCCGTGGACTCCATTTTGTAGCCCCATTTCTTAAGGTTGGCACTGCATCTCGTGGTGCTAGAGCGCAGTCTGTTCAGTGCCTTCCAAGTTACCCAGCCTTCTGTGTGCCCAGGAGGGAGTCTCTCATTTGGTATCAGCCATGGATTGAGGTTCCGGGCTCAATGTTATGAAAATATGTATACAAGACGTTTAGCTTTCTTTGAGAATTAGAGCGGATCCCTCACCAAACTACAATTCCATATCATTAAGCTATTATTGTAGAAGCACCCTGAGCCAGAATTGATCTATATCTGTTTATCTGTATGAAGCAATTACTAAGTTTAATGATAATACAGACTGAATCTAGTAGGGTCAAATTATATTTCCTAGTATGTTATTTCTTCTACTTGCAGGTTTCTTGGAATGCCAGGTATTAAAAATTAGGCTGTGACTAAGCCTTTATTTTGCACCCCAGTGTTTAATGTATCCAAATCTGCAGTTTAGCTATCTTTAGGATTGTATTTGATATTTGGAAAGGGGTGGCATTTGCTAGTCAATTATGCAATTTAATTCCTATAGACTTGCACTTGACTTGCATTTGAAAAGAATTTTTTTATGGTTTGAATTTTCATAGTGGATAAAAGCCTGTATTTAAGGTCTCTACATACATATTAGTCTGCCAGTAATACTGTATTACTTTTGTTTTTGCTTAAGGACAACAGGAAAAGGTCACTCACTAGTAATTTTTGTTAGAACTGGACTGGAATTACAGAATATTCTTTGAGTTTAAATTTATGTATCTTTATGTTTCACTCAGGTGGGTTTAATATAATCTTTCAAAAGAAACTGAACTCAATTTCCTATACAGTATTTATTTCAACCCAACTACAGCAACATTCTGACATCCGTCCCAATTGTGCGCTGGTAAAAAAATGTGTTGGGTGCCACAATTCTTTATGCTGTATTCACACAGGTTTTCTCTGTGCTTCAATTCCCAGATTGCATACATTTAGGGAGTGGGGCAACACATGGAGGACTGTTGGGCACAGAGATGGCAGGAGGAATGCCTGAATACAGCTTATGTCAGCTTTAAAGCTGGCAATCCATTTTACACATAAAATATGTACATTTTAACATTTAAAATGCAAATTAAGTGTTCAGCACTGATATATGTATCAGAATTAATGTTGCATTGGGAAATTGACACTTTAAAAACAATCTTTGCCAAGTAGGAAAGCAGCCGTGGTAACTCATTACCAATAAATTTGAAAAAAAAGATAGTATATCATTCTGAGCGGGTGCTATTTCATTTCAGATTACTGCATTTGCTTGTTCGTTGTTGCTCACCTTTGTCCTATGAATAAACCAAGTATGGATGCCCTCCATATATCTAGTATAATACTAAAGCAAGCAAAAAAGGTGCATTATTATGGTTACTTACTCTTTCCGCCTACAGATATTCAATTACGAATGTCATCTTGACTATCCATTTTGAACTGACTTTTCTTCACTTGAAGCTCAAAAACTGAAGGATCCTTTAATGGGAAGTATAGTGATCCAGCATGATATAGTAGTTTGAGTGTTGGACTATGACTGTGGTGACCAGGGTTTGATTCCTCATTTGGCCAGGGAAACCCACTTGGTCACCTTTGGCAAATTACACACTCTCAGCTCTAGAAAACCTCATAATAAGGTCACTATAAATTGGAAACATTAATAAGGATTCTTTCTCACATGAAACTTGGGAAAGGATAGTTCTTTCCATCATGTATAGGTTGTGGTTTTGTATAGGACTAAAGTTAATGGAAATACATGAGGTGACATAAAATGCTCTCAAGGAGAGGCAGGTCAGAAATAAAAATGATAGTGAACTGGAAATCTAACCAGTGTGCCGAGTTATTATTTCTTTGCAGTAGTAGAGCAGTCAAATGAGATATACACCCTGTCTCATTGTGTCCTGCATCTGGTTGTCACTTTTGGAGGTCATAACACCTTGCAAATAGATTGGAGAAAGTATAGCAATGCAATAACAAAAATGTGCTTGCAAATAGATTGGAGAAAGTATAGCAATGCAATAACAAAAATGTGCTTGAAAACATATGCTGGTTTTCAGCAAATTGCACAATACAATTATATCCTCCAGGTTGTCCCCAGGAAATTAAAGTAATATATTGTGCTGTACCAGGTCGTCACTTGACAACAATAGACTATTTATTATTACAGGGGTTAAGAGTCATCTTTCTGTTTAGTTGATAGAATCTTGCATGCCTTCTGAACCAAATCAGATATGTAGAAATATATTTCAGTTCTGCAACAAATATGTTTTCTTGAGAAAGTTTTTTAAAAATAACTTCATCTATCACTCATTTTTAAAGGTTGGGGTGTACATTTATTTGCAATACATGTGGATGAAACAGATGTATATCCTGGCATTTAATCTACCTTTCCATTATTTAACCTAAAGTTCTAGTCTTGATGTAAACAACTTGTGACTCCCCAGATTTTGTTGGTTTGCAACTTCCAGCAGATCTAACCAGCATAAACTAATAGAAATGGATTAAGGAAACTGTAGCCTGATAACATCTGAAGGTTGCCCATCCCAGAAACACTACTCTAAATTTATTTTCAAAACATTAATATACATCACAAAATTGTTTTTTTGGAATTTAGAAGTATTCTTATAAAGACATTCATTCTATTTATATTCTTTTATGTTTTTCAGTATATTTTACTGAAAAGAAAAACTGGAACCTACAGCTCCCAGAAGATTGTTGAGAACAAGGTCAGTGACATTGTGTATTTGTTTACTTCGTACAAATTCATTTGTGCACAAAGAGTACCCTTTTGCAGAAGTAACACATTTTTTGCAGACAAAAGGTTTTGCAGAACCTTTCGCAGAAGTAACACAATTCACTAGCAGGCTCTTTTTTTCATTCAAAGTTCATTGCAAAACCTACAGGGTGTGACAATTTATTAGTTGTTTTGAAAACCAAGGGGCCACGGTGATTCAGTGGGTTAAACTGCTAAGCTGCAAAACTTGCTGATCGGAAGGTCCACAGTTCAAATCCTTGGGACAGTGTGGGCTCCCATAGTTAGCCTCAGCTTCTGCCAACCTAGCAGTTCAAAAACATGCAAATGTGACAAGATCAATAGGTACCACTTTGGTGGGAAGGTAATGGTGCTCCATGCAGTCATGCTGGACACATGACCTAGGTGGTGTCTATGGAAGGATACTGGCTCTTTGGTTTAGAAATGTATATAAGCACCCCCCCCCCCGAGTCAGACTTGACTAGACTTAGTGTCAAGGGGAAACCTTTACCTTTAACTTGGAAACCAAATAGGGAAGAATGCATATAGCTTTCCTTATATATATCTGTATGTGTGTATGAGTCACTTGTCAACTCATGACAACATCATGACTTTCACTGGGTTTTCTTGGGAAAGAAATACTCTGAGATTTTTTTTTGTTCCTTCCTCTGAAATACAGCCTACCTGGTATTCCTTGGTGGACTCCCTTCCAAAATACTAACCAGGACCAAGCCTGCCAGGATCAGGTGTGACTTGGTGCCTTTAGAGATATGTGTATAATCCTGTGAAAAATATTTCAAAAATGATAAGCAAACAAGTGGGTTTCCAGTATCCAGTATTGGTTCCAGGACCACCCTGTGGATACCAAAATCTGTGAATGCTCAAGTTCTGTTATATATTAACGGTGTGGTATAATGTTTTCCCTTATATACAATGGCAAACAACTCAAACAAATGCTGGAGACTCCCTGAGAATCTGTGAAATGGTGGGAGAATATAGCAGAGTATACCTACACAACAGCATAGAGCTTGGTAGCATATCAAGATTTGCTTTTTGGATTTTTCCCCCTGAGTATTTTCAAGACCTGGATAGTTCAATCTTTGGATTCAGAACCCTAGATACAGAGATCCAACTGTACCATCTCTTTCTTATTCTGAAAGGCAAATAAATCCAAAATAATTTCCTGTGGCACAGCGAGACAATGTCAGTAACTTAGATTTGGACACTGGGATTATGACATTTGCAAACTGCAGGCCATTATTTATACACTAGCTTCCTGCCTCTTAAATTCTGCCATTCTATGAGCCTGAAGGTTATTTGAATTGATATAGCATTCTCTTCACAGCATTTTATGTGACACTAAGCAGATCTTCTTGTGTAGCTTCTGCTGAAAACCCCTCTGATCTAGATGCTCACAGAGTTGCAGGCATAATGATTACTTATCCCTGGGAGGCTCAGCACACCCTGCATGTTTAAAGACTATTTATTGTTCTGAGATGGGGGAATTTGGAAGCATGAGAATTAAATCTGTTTGAAGCTGGTGAGGCATGGATGCTTCTTAAGCTCTGAGTTTGCCTGCTGTTCCTAACTCATCTCGAATGTTTATTTCTATGTCTATCTGTCCTGCCTGCCTTCCTTAATGAAAGAGATAGGCTGCATTGCCATGAGCACTAGAAACATGACAATTGCTTTCAGGATGAGGATGAGGACTATAAAGATTCAATGGGATTAAAAGCAATAGTTTTCTGGTGCCACTCGAGATTTCAGCATTTAAAAAAGAGTGAAGTATTATTGCTAACCTTTTGGAAAGATACAGTAAGTGTTACCCTGGGATTTTTTAAAAAAAGTTTGTGTATGAATTCGTCATGTCAGATACATCTATTTTTTTTTTTGCTTTTGAGATCACAAGTGGTGGGACAACAATAAGACATTAAAGTGTTTGTGCTTTGCCAGCCGACAGATGTACGAATAGTATCATTTCAAGACATGGTTCAAGTTATTCATCACCTACAAGATTTGTATTTAGTAGGACAATAGCTAGCATGCAGCCTTCTAGTTGAGTAAAAACAGGACCAAAACAGAGAATTGTTTGAAAAAGTATCCTTCTGGGATGGTATACTACACACTAACTTTAAATAGCACAAACAATAGTAAGAAATAGAGTAGCATGAAGGTAGGAAGAAGTCTTCACAAATGTACTTACAATACTTAAAAGGCTTGAGGGAATGAAAAAGAAATCGGGTGCCTTAAAGATGACTAGGTAGGTGAGCTTTCTAGGAGAGAATACGATTTGTATAAATGATACCACAGGTAATTTTCATCATTTTTATGCCTCTAACAGTGGTACACCCAAAAGACAGCACCACCAGATATTCCTTCTCTTCATTTTAGCTGTTCAGGAGATAACTTGTTAGACATTACTGTCTAACAAGTTAATACAGAATTAATATTTGCTTCATAAAACCACCGAAGAAAAAAGGATCGAAATTCCTTTAAGACATTAATAACCTTTCTGCAAATATTTAAGTTTCATTATTGCACTATTGGTTTTTCTCTGAAAAATTATATTCTTTGTTTTCTCCTCTTCCCCCCTTTGGCAGATTTCAGGGCTTGCTGTTTTCAGAAGAGTTAGTTATGCAGCAGGACCGAGTCCGTAATGTGTCTCCTACATGTATAACACACTTGTCATTGTAATGTGTTACAAATGACATTACAAAATTTAAACAAATAAGCTCCAGTAACTGCCTTAAAGGTACTACCACTGCCATGCAAAAGCCAAGAGTAATATTGTCTTGGCAACTACTGAGATGTAGAGAGAGGGGAAATCCAATCTATGAGTGTTAAAGAGGGCAAAACAGGAATGGAAAGAGTATAGAAGCTAGTGAGAGGGAGGTAGATATAGGAAAAATAAACCCTAAATGCCGATGCAAACTGTGACTGACACCCTTTTAGTAACATATACAGATGTCATTCTGCTTTACACTGGCCTGTTTGATCATTGCAGAGATTGATCATCTTTTCCACTTTTCTTAAGTACTAAATGTACTGATTATTCCCTGAAGCAGTTGATGGAGTTCATCAGTGCTCAGTGACTGGGTGTGGTGGGCTGTAATGGTTAAAATGTAGGTCCTGGAGAAGTAAGGAGAGATGTAATGTCATTTGGCTTGTGGAACTATTATGCTTTGGTGCTTTGAATGTGATTTTCCTGCTTCTTGGCAGGGGGTTGGATTGGATGGCCCACAAGATCTCTTCCAACTCTATGATTTGTGATTCTGTGCTACACTGTGTCACACAGGATTGGGTTTCTAAGCACAGACTTGATGCACCATCAACAGTTCCAATCAACCTATTTGGCGCAGTGGGTTAAACCGTTGTGCCGGCAGGACTGAAGACTGACGGGTTGCAGGTTCGAATCCAGGGAGAGTGTGGATGAGCTCCCTCTGTCAGCTCCAGCTCCCCATGCGGGGATATGAGAGAAGCCTCCCACAAGGATGGTAAGACATCAAAACATCCGGGCATCCCCTGGGCAACATCCTTGCAGACGGCCAATTCTTTCACACCAGAAGTGACTTGCAGTTTCTTTTTTTTTAAAAAATAATGGTTTAAGTATAGCAAAACCAGGTTAAAAACTGGGAGATGAAGACTTCAGAAAGTTGTATGTTTGCTGTTGTTCTACTTTAGAAAATAAAGTTATGATAGAAATGTGGAAAATTTGTAAGGGAGTGGAGAAAGAGATAGCAAGAAGTAGCAGCAGAATATGGTATGAACTTGTGAAACTGGGTAGTGTTAAACTTAATGTAAACTAAAAATCCTTTGCATTTGTCTTAGGTCTATACTGGTTGAAAGCCCGCATATCACTATATGAGCCTGTCTGAATCCTACCATTTTGTGGGGAGGACTTTCATTTCAGCCCTCTTGTAGGCGTAAATGGTGGGGATACAAGGAGAAAGCCCTTTCCGTGGCTTCTCCTAAGCTTTGGATCTTCCTCCAGAGGGAGGTTCAAGCTGTCACCTGTTTGTTGACTTTTTACTAACAGGCATAGACCTTGTTTAAAGAAGCCTTCAGTCTTGACTGACCACAGTGATGCTGTTTTAATACGCATCACATATTTTAATTGATCTAATTATTTTAAATGTATATGTATTTAAAATAGTATTTAAATGTAATGTCTTACTTAATGTTTGTTTAAACTTTGCGATTTTATACTGTTTCAACTGCTCTGTTTTAATTCATGGGTAAGTTCTTTTGAATCCCATTTGGTAAAATAAACATCTCAACTCTCAGACAAGCCCAGTGGTAAACCAAGGCTGTCTTAAGAACACTTCTAGTTTAAGACAGCAACTTTGCCTGGGCTTTGTTTCAGTGGAACTCTAGGCTTGCTGCAGGTTTTTCTACTCCACCAGCCTACTTGCTTAGCTTGTCTTCTTTTTCTACTTGTTCCCTTCTGTCTGTTGGCTTCTACTTGCCATTCAGTTTGGTTATTCTCCCTGTTAGCCTCCATCCAGATGGATTTCTTGGCTCATGCCCTGGTTTGCAATTGATTCTGCCTCCATATTGGCTCTCCTGTGAATCCAGCCAAGTATTCCATCTGACTTGCTAGGACTACCACCAACTCATGTATGATTACCCCTTTTCGATCCAGGACTAACAGGATCATTTTCTGTTCATCGCAGCAGGTCCAAATTGTAATGTCTGGGATGCACTTGGTTCGTGATACATTTCTTTCTGGGAAATGAATAGAAATGTAATTAAATAACCATTTCCATGTGTGTCCAAGAATATACAGAGTTGGTAGACATTGGTTTTGCTGCACAAATCAATAACATACCATCTCAAATATTCACATTGTCTTGAATATACATGGAAGAAAAAGATTCTCTCCTTTCTGTAATGTTTTGTTGTCCCTTTGCAAACAAATGAAAAACTATTTCTTTTTGAGTAAATATGTGTGCGTCTCCAGAATTATAACCTTTC